ATAGTGTGTATATATATATATATTATTACGTAATTTGAGACAATTTAAGAGTAAAACACAACTTTTTTTTTCACAAGTTTTTAAAGTCAGAACAATGGATGTGATTAGTCTCAAGTTATGAAAAATCTGTATGGAGAAAAGGTAAATCTAAGAAAATTAAATGTGATAAAAAATCGGGAAAAAAGATGAACATGATGTCATCTCTGGTTAGCATTAGCAGCTCCAGTTTGGTGACAAATTATAATGAGGTTAAAGTGAATGTTGACAGCACGTTTAGCATGATTGTGTCAATGTGTTCCTGCAATAAGTTATGGGACAATAGCCTGTGTCATTGCCAAAGTGAAGTTTATTCCTGTGCAAACAATTTAAGATTTATTTGACCTCATTTCCCCTGAGAGATCGGAGTTTGGGTGCGTGGCAGTGGAAGAGTTATTACTCAGAAATCCAATAGTGGGGTTGGTCACCATGTGGGGAGATGGAAAGGTCTTTGTACTATTCATACATTCATTTAATAAAGAGCTGTGCTGAGATCCTGAACAGGTGGTTTTTTAGGCACATAAATCAATGAGTTATCTTCACAACGGTGGGAGAGAAGTTAAGCAGGCTCCTCGATGAAACCTGAAATCCAAAACCACCACATACTGTAGAAACACACTTTACAGTAACAGTCGGCTGCACTCAGCACCCAATAAGCCCAACATCTGCACTGCACCAGTAAGTGCCACTTGAACCATTTGTTTTCACTTTTTAACAGGGTGAAATGATGAAATGCTCTTTTGAAATGACAGCTCAGAGAGTAATGTTTCATACGCATCACTACCACCTAGTATTTAGGCAATTGGAGACATGTGTATGCTACAAGCCACGTCTTTGGGGGGGATTAAGCTGTTGAGAGATGACAGATGTCCTTTTTAAAACTCCTGTAGGATTAAGTGAGATAGCCCTAATTGAATTAGATCCAGAGTCTAATCGGCTAGAGCAGGATCCATGTAATTGTGACAGATTCTTCATTCGGTCTTCCTCGCCTTGTTCACTTATTCTCTCAAACATTAGTCGCTGGGTTCATGTCAGAAGGGGACTCAGGGCCACCTGGCAGCCTTTCAACTGTGATTATGGGGGAACAATATGTGACACAGTGCAGAGTGTGTTGATGGCACCCTTCCAGGCACACAAAAGTTACTCTCATTCTTTACCTGACTTCTCTACATGTTACGCTCCATCTCATGCCCCACTCTCCAACTCCTCCTGATTTACTGCTTTTGGCAATCCTGCATATGGGAGGCGTGGCATATCCTGACAATTAAACTGCCTTTCAGTGTCTGGCGCCTCCTCGTCTATTGCTGGCCAAGTCCCATGTTTCTGTTCATGAGTGTGCTTGCACCAGGACACACTTGGACTTTAAAATGTCTTCACTACCATGTTTGGTATTAATACTGTGAGTATTGCACCTGCTCTTGGTCAGTGCCATTTCCGTTGGAATGCACATTTCATTATCTAGACGAGTACACTCATTGTTTAACATGTACTTGCTTTTGTAGCTGCTCTCATTGGAAAAATCTACTATTTTGAGGCCTGTTCAAGTTTTTCAATGCCCACATCGATTCTAGGAGTTAGTAGAAGAACTAGAGTAATAATTGACCTTGTGTGTTGTTCAAGGTGTCCTGTCAACAGTTTTCCAGATGTGTGTTTTGTAATTATGGTCTGGGGGGGGGGCTTTCTATGCTTTCAATGCTTTCAGGGGATTTTTCAGTTGTAGTTGGCAGTTGGCCACAGCAAGGATGACTTTGCCACACCATATCCACTTCTCTTCCTTCTCTTATCCATGGCATCCCCCCACATTCTCCAGTGACCATTCCTTGACATTTGAGTAAGAATGGAGGATCACCTTTAGTATCATGTAAGAGTACTGTGTCTGGAATTAAATATGATGATTAAGTTGGATATTCCCTGTCAGTCAGTGGTTTACTGGGAGAGGTTCATGCTCTATTACATGATTAATCCGGTTGTTGTGTTTACTGGCAAGTGTAATTTGTGGCTTTTTTTTTGTTAGGCTTTAGCTCTCCCAAAGGGTATCTAAAACTAACTGAACTAATTAAAACTGACTGAACTCCAAGGCAGACTACGGCCTCAAAGAACACTTTTGAGTGACGTCACACTGTACACTTTCATAGACACATACAAGCAGACCACACGCACAGAACGTTTCTCAAAGACCTAACAGCCATGGTCTAAACTGGTCCTGCACTTTACCATCTCCTGAGGCACCTGTCCATTCATCTGTCTTTTACACAAGAATGAATCAGTTAATGTGACTCGAGGCCAATGTATCACCTCCAGCAGCTTACACATATGATGTGGATAGAATATTCCACTATGATTACTGGTTAATGAACAATCAACCATTCTCACTGTCGTCACCTTAAGTCACTTGAATCCAAAGTACAAATCTCTTTTTCTCGATTGTGAGGATTCGCTGCTTTTCTTTGTCTATGTGGTAGTAAACTGAACATCTTTGGGTTTTGAACTGTTAGTGGGACAAAAAAAATGGACTACACCTTAAAGTTAACAGATTAATCAAGAACATATTCTGTAAATTAATTGATAGTGAAAGTAATCATTAGTTGAAGGCTATTACACAGTCCAATCTCCAATCTACTGTAGCATTGAAGATGGCCTTTAATAATGCAGTTTAATTATTTGTCTAATTCTAAAATTTTATCCTATTTTTGGTGCTCAGTTTAGAAGAAGAAACAGTTCCTTCTCTCCGGTACCACCTCTAGGGGATCAGTCTTACTGTGCCTGTAACAAAGGTGGCCTTTCCAAAGAAGCTTCAGTTACAGTACAGCTTCATTTTGTTTCACTATGAACGTACCTCTCTGTCTACAGTATGTCTGCTGTCCTTTTTCATCTCCTTTTCCTTTTCTGTCCCTGACTCCAACTCTCTCCGTCTCACTTCAATTCTCAAACACACGTTCTAAAAATCGGTCTCAACAAGAATCCTGGATTTAAGTTCTATAATCAAAGGATTAGTCCTCTAACCACTATGGCTTTCTGTTGCGACGAGATTGGGAGGGTGTGAAATATGAATAGGGGTGATTAGTTTGTTGGCGGGCTGAACCCGAAACGATCAGTGTTGAGTAGCGTGCAGCCAGTAGCCATCTGATGCCCTGCTATGCTGAAAAGTCCCCTGAGTGTCAGCAGACCCAGAGGGCTGAGCACATGGACTCAGGCAGAGAGATTATGTCTCCTTGAGACTCGCCCAGATTCTCCACTCTCACGACTCTCTTATCAGGGAAGGGCACATCAACTGTCGTTTAGGAGAATGGAAAGCAATTAGGCAAGACAAATAGGACATTGACTAGACCACTGCACGTTCTGTAGCGATGTTGCTTTTTCCTTTTAGCATAATGTCTCCTTTTTCAAACAAATGTACTCAAAGCACTTGCCCAAAGATTCAAGTTTCATGAGGCAACTAATTCTGTGCATTCAGCAAATCAAGACTGATTTACAAAGATGTCTGTGTGTGTTTACTTTGCAGGCTTTTGGAGGCAGGCAGCGGCAGTGTTCAGAGCTTGTCTCTCTCTGACAGTCACCTGGCGGAGCTGGATGGAGACACGTTGCGTTTATTCGGACTCGGAGCCCTGGAGGCCCTGGAGAGGGGCTGGGGAGTTCAGACTGCTGGTGCTGTCACTGTAATAACTTTCCGCTACATCAACTTTGACGCCATTGTACCAACACTGCCGCGAATAAGGGTCAAGTTCCCCAATTTATCGGTGAGGGATCAAGCCACGTACCATAAAGAGCATAATGTTGACATAAATTGCTCAAGAAGAAAAAAAGGAGATTGTATGCTTTTCATGTTACCTTTAGATGTGGTTGTCGTAAATGCTGAATGTCCAAACACCAAACTGCCTGACATGACACAAAGAATGAGGACTTTAGAGGTGTAGGCTGGTGGATGTCTGCCCTCTCACCGCCAAATAGTCCTTGTCATCAGCCTTGTCGTCATGTCCTTTGAACTATTTCCTGTTTTGTTGGACTGGATCACCACAGCAACACAATGTACATCAAAGAGAGCACTGATTTCAAGCGGATAGAAAATAGTTAATTTAACTGTAGCTAGGGCTTACAATATCTGATATATTTCTTTTACTTCAAGCCCACTCTGCTACCTCACAGGCGTTCCTGCTCCTGCTCCTGGGCATGAAATGCTATGATGCACACAAGGCAGGGGCTAATTAGGAAAGAAGTATGTATGTTAGCAGGGTAGTCTTCTTGCTTCCCACAGTGAAACAAAGCGAAGGGGAAATACAAAGAAATAAATTGAATTAGTAAGTAAGTATTATTATTATTATTCAAAATTCATCTTTGAATTTGAAACAAAACGACTGCAATACTTTTTTTCTTTGTACTATTTTGTCAGTATGGACCTCATAATGGTCTCAAAAATGTCTTTAAAAGTCTTAAATTTAATCTTATGAAACCTACAGAAACCCAGTTTTAAATATTATGAATGAAAACATTTGCTGATGTAACATACAGTATAATTAAGTGTTATATTTTTTTATCCAAAGCACCTTACAGTTTTTGAAAGAACACTGTTTTAAATTGATTTCTCCAAAGAGAATAAAACACCTAACCTGGTCAATCTTTGCCATGACCAACTCAGTGAGTTACAGGCATGAACAAATATACAGTAGGTATCTAGTTCTCTCTCACTGAAACCAACTTGTTGCTTTTTCTGCAGCACCTGATCTTCTTGGAAACCAACATCAGCCGTCTGGCCCAGCTAGCGGCCCTGGCTCAGGTGAGGCGTCTGGACCAGCTGACCATCCACCCAGAAGGCAATCCAGTGGTCAGTCTGGCTCTGTGGCGCTCCTTCGTCATCTACCGCCTCTATCACTTCAACCTGCAGAGGATCAATGGCCAGGAGGTGGGGACTAGCTTGGTTTTTATTGCAGTCTTTCTGCCATATAAAGACAGCATCTTGTGAAATCTTTGTTAAGAGTTACTAAGAGTTAGATGAGAAGATTGCTACCACTCTCAAGTCTGTCCGTTAAATGTAAGCTAATGTCCAGCAGTTATTAGCTTAGCTTAGCACAAAGACTGGAAAAAGTGGGAGACAGCTAGCCTGGCTCTGTCCAGCACCTCCAAGGATAACTAATTCACATGTTTTATCTTTCTTTTTTTATCTGTACAATTTCTATTAATAACTATTATTTTCTTATTCCCCACCAGAAAGCAACATTTTTTTTAATCAAAATGTAACTATTTCTTTACTGTTACCAGCCTTAAATAATTGGCTCATGATCTACCTGAGGATTCTGTCTCTAAATTAGAATTATTTGAGTTGATTAGAGTTTTACTTTTTTGCTGAGGCTACAACTTTTGAGAAAATGGTGTAACTTATGACAACAAAGCATGACTCATACGTTTGTGTTTTTAGGGTGTAGAGATACACATGAAGTAGCCGACCAGTCAAGCATTGTTTGCTGTATGTCTGAGCTCTCGTTTGTTTGTCTACCTCAGGTGACCATGAATGATGTGATCGCTGCAGAGCGTGTGTTTGGGACACTGGGTCACATAGCAGCCACCGAAACTCCACGTTGCCGGCTCCTCCTGCTGCTTGAGGAGTCCAGGTGAGAACAACATAAATTAGCTACAGTTTAATGTGTTTGCTGTGTCCTGGACAGTGTTAGCTGTTCGTTTAGATATGTAAAGAATGTGCAGATTCTTAAATGTGTATATGTGTGAACTACAGCTTACAGCTTGTGAGTATGTAGGCAACTGTACATGTATATGCATGCCTGTGCCTAGCATTCAGCGTGTATACATTTGTGTGTGTGTGTGTGTGTGTGTTCACATTTGTGTGAGACAGCGAGACAGAGCCTGGCACCGAGGAGCCAGAGAATTAGACTATGTGTCTCAGGGTAAGGGTGGGTACTTGGCACTTCGACACAAACATTCCTCTCTCTCTCCAGCCAACAGTTCTTGAGGTCTGTCACTCTTCTTGGTTAATGAAAAACATCCTCGCAAGGCAACAATCAGCTGAATTTGTCACGCACAAGAATATTTCTTAATAGTTCTTATTATCTGGTTGGTTATGGGCAGACTACATTTTGAAAGGTCAAAAGCAAAGCTGCATACGGTATTACTAGTAAAATCCAAAAATTGGAAAACTGCCAGGTCGAATCATCTGACTGGTTAAGAAACCTGTATTACATGTAGCTCTCTAAAAAACTTCCATTTTGATGGCCATCATTTGGGAAATGACCTGCTCTGGTAGAGTTATTGCGTTAGAGGTGGAAGACAGTGACAGTGAAGTAAATGTGATTTTGAGAAAAAAGGAAATGCATACTCGATGAAATATAATTCATAAATACTGTTGAGCAGTATGTGAGTCTCGTTATGAATCTGAGCTGTCTCTGTGTCCTCAATTGCCCTTTCCGAATGATGTTGAAAATGAACTTGTAAACTTTAGGAGGACTGACTCTTGGCTGCAACTCACCCTGATTCATACACTGTTATGGATAGATAATACACAACAGCCCAAGGTCGAGAATTATTTTCGCATCACAACTGAAATCTTAATCAGTGTTATCTGCATGCAGATTCATTATCCCGTAAGTCAGTATATCCATTTGTCACACTAAATGCTGTTAGATCTCACCTCTTATGTGCCAAAACTTTCCTGTTGTAGGCTGTATGTCATATAAAGTCTATTTTCTGAATAGAAAAAATACTGCAAAAAAGTAGAAAACACAATGAATAGAGTTTATGTGTCAGGTTCCCACAAAGCTCTTGTGTTGCTCAGTGGGTTGTGGGTTTAACACTGAACACGGTTGTGTGTCATGGTTCCTGCCTAAGTCAGTGTGTAGAGCTAGGCCCTTAACATTCCCACTAGCATCTTACAGAAGTAGGATCTTCTGAATAGGTGTTTTGGATGTTATATTACATGTGGCTGCAATGCAAACTCCCTTGCAGAATACATGATATCATTACTTGTGTGCTTTGCAGCATAAGGAACGCTAGCAATAAGTAGGATGAAATGTACCTAAAAAATTCAGTTTGACCCAGATGTGATACTATTTATGTTGCAGCTATTCCTTAGCTGTAGGATTTTACAGTTTACTGTGTCTCCTGTAAAATGGATCATTTGCCCTCTTGCGAAAAATGGTTTGAAGAGCAACATTTTATGATACCACTTCTGTTTACCGCTGAACGGCACTATTTGTACTATTTGTGCTATTTGCAGTCATCATTTCCTTGCTAGTGTTGCTGGGCTAGTGCTAGCTTCCTAATGTTTCAGTTCCATGCAAAATTTTTGCTTCTGATTGTTGTCTTCCAAAGTGGTAATGCCCAAAATGGCCTGATGAAAGATTGCTACCATCAAACAGAGAAATTAGTTTTTCATTTTTATGAAGGGCAGTAATATTATTTCCTTGTTTCTCCTCCCTCCCCTCTAGCAAGGGTATACAGTGCTCGCTACCAGCATGAAGCGTACCATCACAACATGAGGTCCTGCTAGTAGGATGCTGTTTGTCATTCTTCTGCTTTAATTGGCTGTTTATTTCTAATGCTGCACTGTGCACAAGGTGTAGTAAATAAAAAAAAAGATAGGCCTGAAGCATTTTGTTATCATATGTTTTTTAGGCCAACTCTTGTGACTTGGTGTCATGGTTGTCAAGGTTGTTTGGTTTGAACCTCAGATGATCCCTTGTCATTGTACCCTTGTTGAGAACAAGGAGAGCTTCTACTTAACACATTTCAACACTAGGAGTCTCACCGAAGGGAAGACTTTAAGGGAAACTGTTTTAATGTGACACCGAATGCAGCCGCTATAATGCCGAAGGCTCTTGTTGGATAAAAACGCAATTTTACAAAACACAACAATATTGCACAAGACCTTTAAATAGAGTTCATTGGCTCTGTGTTTGTAAAAGGCAGTCAGGAACTAAAGTATCGCGTTAACTTTTGGCTCCAACACAAAATTTAAAAAAGTTTAAGTTGTGTCACAAGGTTTTCATCACACATTGCACAAGAACCATTTGATTCAGTCGGAGTTTGTTACAACCTGATCATAACTGCTGTTCTCTCAAGGGATGTTTACACTCAATTACACATAGGATTTGTTAGATGGATACACAACACTTACTTTTCCCCATGCCCATATGATTCTCACTGATTTTAACATGAACACACACACAGGTCTACCTTCCTTGAGCTTGTTTTACCTCGTTACTCACTTGTGTCTGACACACTAATGTGTTTTGGCATATACACACGCGCACACACAGGCATGCACGCCTGTACACGTACACATACACACACACACACACACTTTACAAACTATCTTATCCTATATGGAATGTTTGCCTCCAGCCTCCTCTGAAAAGACTATTTCAGCATCCTGGCACTGGTCTGTGGAACATGTTGGTGCAGTAGTGTATCACATGAGATTTCATACTGATAGACAGCAACATTTGATGTAGTTTACATCACTTTGAAAGTCCTCTACTGCTTTTATAAGTGTCCACATCCTGCTGCTGAGTGAGAAGAGTGAATATAAAATGCTGACACTTACATTTACACTGACAGCAACAACTGCGCTGTCTGCCGTCAGTTCTGATAGATTTCTTAACCGAGTCAGTTTTTTTATTTCTTGATAAACTTGCTTCATAGTACTAAGAGAGAGTGTCATTTGATGGACACAAGAACATACTTTTATTACCTTGGTGTCACTCACTTTCTGCCACTGTTTCTCCCCTAGGTGTCTAACTTTCTCTCCTCTCTCTTCACCCTGAAGGAAGCGCCAGCTGCAGTTCCTGTTGGAGGGGCGTGGCCGGCGGGCCGGACTGAGTCCAGAAGAGCTGCGAGACAACGGGAAGCTCCTAGGGGAAGGCCTGAGCAGAGCGCTGTTCAACTACCCAAGCAGAGACTGTAGTGCAGATAGCCCTGAGGTCAGTTCTGTTTTTTGTTTTACATCTTTTTTTACGATGGCCAAGTGGTTTGGGAAACTGCAACAACGCCTGAAAGTGGCTGAAATGTTAGTAAAAGCTAGTTTGAGTCCCATATCAACCAATTTTACTACAGCCAACGCTCCTTGCTGAGTTGTGGTGTGCCATACCTTACCCCCATTATACTTCAGCCTGTACATTCCTTAAAAAATAATTTGAACCATTCATTTTTGCTGTAATTCATGGTGATGTTTCACAAAAAAAAACTAAAAGTTGCTAAATGAGGTGGCAACAGCATACTTTACCAACTCACAAGTATTTCCATGTAAAAGGCATCATCATAAATCTAGCACGCCATCAGACAGGAAAACACTTTCTAACTGGTGTGTGAGCGTGTGCGCGTCACTAAACAGGATCATGTGGGCACCTGCCAACACTATTTCAAAACCACATCTGAATTCACTTTCCGTGCTATTGTGTTGTGGTTCCTAGATGAAAACAATGCTGTGCTCCTAGTCTCAAACATAACTCAATGTTCATTTCCACTACAGTAATTAAATAGGATTTGGGATAACAGCCCACTCACCAGTTGAGAAGCTTAATTCTATCAACAACAATATCAATCATTTAAAGCAGTTCATCACTGCATTTTGTAGTTAGTATCGCCTATCATTTCTTTCTGGCACACATTTCTCACCCTTCCATCAAGAGGGTGTGGAGTGGTGGTCTCACTTTTCTGTTCCTTGGTTCCTGTCCAGATCCCCTATTTCACTTTAATCCTTCTTCCATTAAGACGCAGATGCACAATTTTCATCTAGTAAAGATTTGAAACTACATCAAAGTGCAACTTTTAATTCAATTAATGGGTTAGGCTGGGATATGCACATGTGCAATACTAAGAAGTACTGTCTGTGTAGCTGAAGTGTTATCCTCTGTGACACTGTGTATATAGCTCCACTGTTGCTCCTAAATTTACATATGAGGGTAATACCGTTGCATTACGAAGTCTAACTATATTTTGTGACTCAATTCAATTCATCAAAAGTAAAGCAGTTATTTCACAACTCTCTAAAACACCACTGTATATCATCACACACTGGCAGGAATTTCAGAATCCTCTGACAGTGAAAGAATATTTTGACGGCTGTAAAAAATCGTTAGGTTATAACATATTTGTGCCTAATAATGCCTGTGTAAATCATTTTGGTCACCAAATACTGACACACCTGTTAGTTGACATTCTAAACAATAGTCTCCTGCTTCTGAATCTGTATTAAACATGTGCACTGTGATAGCTTCATTAAGTTATGATACATCTGATGAGTTTCACTCTCTGTGATTGTCCTGCCATTGTTAATATACTTAATGACAACTGAATCAACATGAAGAATATTCTCTTCTTTTCCTCACAGGAGGGCACTGTGGAGTCATCGGAGCGTCCTGTCATGATAGAGCAGTACCTCCAGGAGTTGGTCCAAAGGGCGTCAGACACCAATCTAAAGGGCGAGGCTCTGCACAAGCTTTGGCCCTCCATGTTTGCAGAGATGGTGAGGGACTGTGTGTTGGAGATGAGGGACCAAGCAGCCTTCCGCCAAGCCAGCCTTGCAAAGCTGTCTGAGACCAAGTGAAGAGGACCAAAGGTTCACTCTTAGACACACACGTGCACACATGTGGACATAGCTTGCCTGGGCGCCTCCAGGGCTTCATCTCAAACTCCCTAATTCTAACACATCATCACTTAGTGACTTATCACTGACTATCAGTTATTAAAATCTTTGGAAACTGAAGGCTGTATTTCCCTAGTGCGAGGGGAGCTCTTTCTTAGGACGGGTGTAGATTGTTTTAAAGGTGTCTGAAGAAATTCTCATGACAAAGGCATCTTGACTGAATGTAGATTTTCACTGAAAACACACTGTTTTGATTCTTCAGTGCTCAGAGCTGTAATGTACTTGAAGAAAGTTAAAGGGACTTATTGACTCAGTGCATTATGGTCTCTACGGAGCAACCTCTGCACTTTAAAAGTCTACTGAATGACCCCTCTTCACCATTACTGTCATCATGTGCGATGTCTCTTTTGTCGAGACTAGAATGATTTTTCTGTCTTAAATCTTCTTTCACGCATCGCTCTCTTACTTTCTCCTGCCTGACATCAAAAGAAGGGCACGAACAAGGACAAGGACTTTTCTTTGTTTACCACTGATTTTCTGTATTGTACTTAGTATTAAAATATTCTGTATTAACACTCAGTTTGTGTACATGGTTTGCATGATTGTTTTTCTCACAAAATCTTGTCTACAGGAGTGAAAAAGTCATGTTATTAGGAACAGGGGAAGACTTGATGCCTGAGTAAAGAAAGACCACCTCTCAAGTATGTTAATGTGCAAGTTCATCTCTGCTGGTTCTCTTAGGCAGTTCACACTTGCATTATTAACACCTCATAGGCCATTAGACTCCCATAAGTCAGAGGCAGTGTGTGCATGTGTGTGTGTGTGTGTGCTTGCGTGTGCTGGAGGTCCAGAAGCCATGAAGGGGGTCCTCTAGGTAGTCTCAACTCAGACTGGAATGTCCCTGGAGGCGTAGAGGCTTTCTCACCACCTGTTCCTGCTCCACCATCCCTCAAAGAATTTTTTAACCCTTATTTAATCAAGCATGAAGGTGGATAACGCAGCAACAACCTGGAGGAGTAACTGCAGGGGGATGGAGTGTCAGAACACCTCCACACATAAACCTAATAGTAAGAGTTGACAGGTACCGCTGTCCAATGTTATCCACTCCACTAGAGATCAATGCCTTGATTATGGGTATTTGACTTAAAGAAGACAAGAACATCACTTGTGTGTTAAATGAGTTTGTCTCTTCTCAGTGCTGGGTTGTTGTTTTCTGGTTTTCAATAGTATTGGTGACTAATAGCTCTTTAAGATTGTAATTTTGCTTTGTATGACAGTCGTGTCAAAGGTTGCTTTAGTGGAGTACATTCAGTACTTTGTCCAGACAAACACAGTAAACCACAATACTTTTTCAGTTTTTGAGAAGTGGTTAATGTTAGAACTTTACTGTTCTAACATTAACCACTGCATTCTTTTGAAGATGTTGTGGCCCAGATTTTCTTTATGATACTTATTTTCCTACTAATGTGTCTATGCTCCAATAGATAGTTAATCTGAATTAGAAGACGGAGACAAATACCTAAACATGTTTTATGAAATATGACTGCATAATATGTTGCTTTTTGGGGCTGCTGTCCCCTGATTATCTCATATGAACCAGGGAAATAAAAGCCATCTTGCCTGCTTTGACAAGAAACCACAAATGCCTGCCATCACAAAGCTACAGCAAGTTTATTTTAAGCAGCTCTGATAAACAACAGTGCTTTGTGCTGACACATTTAGTCATTTTATGGGACTGCGGCTGTCACCATTGTCAGAGAAGTCTAGTCCCAAAAGACTGACAGTACTCCGTGACTAGTGCCAGTTGCATAGTTGGAAAGTATTTTAAGGTTCAGACAGTGCAGTTCAAAAGGCTCAACATATTAAAGCCCATATGTCTTTGTGAGTAATAACCCACCATCAATCTGTTTAATCAAATTAAAAATAATACTTCTTCTGAACACTCAGTATATGAGTTGGGGCTTAATATGGTGGTGATGTCAGGTGTCTCCGTCCATTCATCCACTCAACACCTTCGTCCAGAGCAAAGTATTTTAAATGAGTTTCCTTCTTGTGTTACCTTCAAGCCAAAAGCTTTTTATACCAGAGACCCCAAAATCAAATATAAAGATTGCCAAGACGACTTGATGCCCATGCTTACAGGGGAAAATGTTTCTTATTTGAATAAACCGATGTGTGTACACTACACACCTCGACTCCATTTACCAGACACACTGATCTCTGAATGTGTAATTTCATAATTTTGGAAAGAAGTGTAGCCTTAAATTCACCAACATTTGAAATTGAATTTTGAAAGTACAAACACTTTTAATGTGACTCAGATTACAATATTTTAGTTTAGTTACCAGGGCAGTAATCTGACTGGTTTAAGTGTGTTTTAAACAAATAAACCTTTAATTATATTAACCTATTCATCTATT